GTTACTGGCATAGAGTTCTGAAGATACTGCTTTTGTCCCAGCTGCAGTTACAGCGGTTTTGTGAGGAAACAGTGAAACTCATCAAGAGAAGTCTCCACATTCCAAGTGCTTTCTAGATGTGAGCCAAGGTTGGTTTTGGCCAAGGTAAGGTCAGTTAGAATAGGGATGCTGTATTTTAGAAGTAGTATTATTGCAGGTAATAATATATATGTCCCTTTGCATAATTAACTAAGTGGATTGACTTAGTGACAGACCCGGGGCTCAGACTGGAGGAAGAAGTAACACTGGATTTGAGTCCTGATAGGATGTATGCTCCTGGAAGGAAGTACAGGAAAAGAAGGTGTTCTAGGTAAAGGAGCAGCATGGGGGAGGCCCAGAGACGCAAAAGCAATTCTCTGAGTCATCAGACACCAAAACTAACTTAGTCCATGGATAGGTGATTACTACAGTTCTCTGACATACAGTGTGTGTGTGCTGGCACATGTGTGTGGCTTATTTCTTTTCCTGAAAACAAAGTGTCAAGGCCTATTCAAGTTCAGATTTTAGGGCTGTCACTCAAACCCTTCTCCATCTGGTGACCATTATCTAAAATTCCCACAGAAGAATTTCACCTCTTGACCTTCAAAGGTTGATCTTATTTCAGGGATGAAGGTAGGGTGGTGACTCATGTCTTAGCGTCTCTCCAATGCAGATAAGGAAGACCACAGGGGCCCAGGGAAGAGCCTAAGCCATCAGTCCCAGTGCCAGGATCTCAGACACAGACCATTATAACCAGATGAGCTCATGTTCCCATTTCATAGATGGCAAAACAGAGTCCTGTGATTCATCCAGGGTCTTGCAGGGGTTAGTCATAGAGAATTAAGCAAAGTTCAGATCACTGGAGTTTCAGTTTGGCTTGATTTTGTGTGGTGTGGTGTGGTTTGGTTTGGTTTTGGTAATGGAGATTGAACTCAGGGCCTTGGTACTGAGCTACATCCCCAGACTTTTTTTTAAGATAAGGTCTAAGTCACCCAGGCTGGGCTCAAACTTGCAATCCTCTTGCTTCAGCTTCCAGGGTGCTGTGATTACAGGCGTGCATCTGGCTACTGGAGAGCTTTTGACATCATTGTCTTGTGATATTTTTAGCACAGAACCAGACATCCAACCCTGGTCTGAATAAATCTTCATCAAGAGCAGAACATTGTTGTCAATTAGGATGATGTACTGAGGCATTTTTAGAACTACAGTAAGTACATTTTTAAAGGTACTTTTTGGGCTGATGGCCCAAAATAAAACATTTGAGGGGGAACACCATTAAGGCAAGGGACATTCTGTGTTGCACTATAGTCACGGTCACCCATGGATGGAAGTGTTGCTGCCCCATTTTACGGAGGAGAACAGTGTGGTTGGGAAAGAAAGAGCTAGCTGTTTCCATCCCTCCAGATGTGGGAGTGGGAGCTGGACTCCAAGCCAGCCTCTTACCCTACTTTGCTCCAATAGGGTCAGGCAGGCAGGTGCTTGGCTTGTGTGTGTTCACATCCATACACCAGGGCATTGAGGCCCCTGACTCAGCCAGTGTATTAGTTACTTTTCTTTTTGCTGAGACAAATACCTGACACCCAAAGTTAAAGAAGGAAAGGTTTATTTGATTCATAGTTTGTCGGGGTTTCAAGCCATAGTTGGCTAGCTGCAAGGCAAGGTGGCATGGCAGAGGAAAAACAGTTCATGGCAGGTAGAAGGCAGCAAAAGCAAGCAAGTGAAGTAGCAAATCAGCAAGTGACTAGAACAGCTTCTTTCTGCCCTTTTTATATTCTATTTAGGCCACTGGCTTAGGGCAGGTGCCATTGGACTAATTTAGTAATCACACACCCTTAATCCCAGCATCACACATTTTAGATCCAGCCACCTCTGAAAAAGCCCTACCTATGAGTGCATGAGGCTTTGGGGGGACATTTAGACACAAGCTGTAACAGCCAGTGAGTTATTTTTTTAGTGTATATTTGATTTTGAAGCATAAAATACATGTAGAAAACATACTGATCTTCAGTGCGCTGCCTAATATTGTTTATGAACTAAACCTACTAACATAACTAGAACTCAGACCAAGGAATAGAACAGGACCACCCCCCAGGAGTCCCCTTGCACCCCCATCCCATCCCTGTGCCCCCATAGCTACCACTGCACTAGTTTCATTACCCTACTTTTGAGTTCTATTCAAGAGTCACACAAAATGTACTTTCTTGCACTCAAATTATGTTTAGGAGATTCATCCATGTTTTTGTTGTAGCTGTGGTTCCTTCGTTCTCCCAGCTGATTGGTGTGGTATTCTAGCACATGAATATACATGGTCAGTTTTTGCTCTCCACAGTAGAGGGCAGAACTGCTGCTTCTGGTTTGGTGCTGTTACAGTAATGCAGGAGAGGTGGGCAGCAGCAGGCTGGAAAGTGGCCAAAGCTGGGGAGGGAGAGGCTGGGCACTGTGTCAACATCTGCCAGGAGCCTAGGAGACAGGTGACCCTCCTTCCTTATCACCTTAAAACCACCTTCTATTGTTGCCTGATCCTTATGGGAGGTGGTGTGCTACTCCAGATGAAGCTTTGGGGCTGTGTGGCTCTGGACAAGCCTCTCTACCTCCCTGAGTCTCCGTTTCCTTTTCTCCAAAGCCAGGATGAGATACTCAAGTCAACCTCAAGGGCTGTTTTGAGATCTCAGTGAGATAAGTCTAGCACAGCCACCGGGATAGAACAGTTGCTTGTTAAATGCAGTTTAAGATGTAAGACAGATTCCAGCTTCTGACCATTTGGGTTCCATTCCTGGCTTTGCGACTTACCAGCTGTGTCCTTAGGCAAGCGACTCACTCTCTGCACTCTCTAGCAACACAGGCAACAAACACTGGTGCACAGAAACTATAAGAAGATCATAGAAACTTGTGGGGAGGACCTGGCAAGATAGCAAGATGTTGAAGACAGAAGAATTCAGGTCAAGGAATGGCAGGGAGTTCCCAGGGGCTTGACTGGCAGGGCAGCTGCAGAATCAGGGCCAGACCATGTAGGGGAGAGGGAGCAAGGGTGTTGCTGGAAGAGAGATGGAGATGCTCTGAGAGGGACCGAGTATGACCCAAGGCACTGACCCTGTGAGTGGGGCTAAGATATGGAAAAGAGGGGATGGCTAACCTCTCCTGTCCAATCTCATTTTGTATGGAGACCAAAGGATAGTGAGAAAGTGAAGGTGTTTAAAGCCACTAATGCTTCCTGGGGTCTCCCCTCAAGTGAAGAAGAGCTAGATGTAGACTTGGGCATGGCTTCTAACATTTAACCAAGTCCCACTTTAATTCTGATGCCTCCCCCTTTTCCTGCAGTTCTGGAGATTGAACCCTGGATCTGCACACTGAGCTATATCCCCATCTGTTTATATTTTATTTTGAGACAGCATCTCACTAAATCTCTGAGTTACTTATGCTGGGCTCTAACTTGCAGTCCTCCTGCCTTAGCCACCCAGAATGCTGGGACTGCAGGTGTTCACACCATACCTGGCTGGTTCTTCTTAACTCTGCAGTTCTACTAACTGAAAGTCCCTGTAGAACACGCTCTTGCCCACAGTCCCTTGTGATATTATTCTTATCACAACTCTCATGTTAATATTTCCTATCTATGGCTTAGTTGTACCTTCAAATGCTTTTAAAATATCCCTTGTACTTTGTTATCAAAATAGTATTAATGTGCATGTTCCTTCAGGCTTAGGGAAATTAGACCTCTGCAAGCCACACAAGATAGCACGTGACCATTGTCCTCTTCCCCCCTCCATCCAATGCCAGCTGCCTGTCACCATTCCTATCCCCCCACGCCTCCCTGCCTGCCTTGTTTTATGCCTCTGTACTTTGCCTTTTCTCTCTGCCTGTTACACGCTCCCCGTGTTCATTCCTATCCACCCTTCAAAACCTCATTTTGATGTCCTCTCTTTGAAACTTTCTAAGAGCTCCTCTATCCAGCAACTGTCTATTCCTATGCCTTTAAGAGTTATTGCATATATTAGACTCTGTTAAATTATTCATCTATTTTAAATCCCAGATCATGAACCCTTGCTTATTTCCAGTGCTGCCCCTGGCCTTGGCTTAGTTAGCTGTGTATCCCCAGGGCTGATCAGAGAGCCTGGAAGAGAACGAGTGTTTAATATGGGTGTTTGCAGTAAACCTAGTTAGACGTGGTATAACTGGCCCTGTTTCCAGAAATTCCATTGCTTATGAATTTTTCCAGAACTGGATGTTGGAAGAAAATTTGTTCCTTCACTGAGGATCAAAAGAAACTAGGCAGCCAGGCAATCCTACCACTCTTTCTTGGGAGGCTGAGGCAGGAAGATCACAAGTTTGCACCCAGCCTGGGCGACTCAGCGACTTAGAGAGACTTCACCTCACTAAAGGGTGGGAGGGGGGCCTCAGGAGGCAGCTGAGGTCCTGTGTTCAATCCCTAGTTCTGGGGAAAAAAAGGGTTGGAGCTATTAGGGGAAGTTTGGGGGTTTGAAGGTGTTTCAAAAGCTTAACCTGCTTTCTGCTCATTTATTTTAGTTTTAGCCAAAGTCTTGGTCTGTTGCCCAGGCTGTTCTGAAACGCCTTGGTTCAAGAGATCCTTCTGCCTCAGCCTCCCCAGCAGCTAGGACTACAAGCACCCAGCAGTCTACCTTGCATTTTAGAGAAATCTCCCCTACAGATCCACCTGAGGTCCCTGACTTTCAAACATTTTTGACCATGATCTTCAGTGAGAAGTACTTTTTACACTGTGACACACGAATACTGTACTCCGTCAGAAAGGAAGCTTTTATTTGTTCCTAAATCATCTCTCTCCCCCTCCCTCTCCCCCTCTCTCTCAAGTTTGCCAGTCAATCAGCACCCATTGACCGATCCCAATTCCATTGTAAATGTAGCCCTGACCCCTTTCTCAGCCAGGTTGGAGGCAGGCAGCATGTGGGAGGTGGGTGGAAGCAGGAGAGGTTCCCAGGTGCTGGACTGACCCTTCCCTCTCTTTGCAGCTGAGCCGCTGCCGCTCATGGACCTGTGCCGGAGATCCATTCGAGCAGCCCTGGGCCGCCAGCGCCTGCGGGACATCAGCTCCCTGCCCCTGCCTCAGTCTCTCAAAAACTATCTGCAGTACCAGTGACGCCAAAGGAAAGTGGACACCCGAGGGCCCGGGGCTGCCTGTCACGCACAGCCACACAGCCCATGCAGGAGGGGGTCTTCCCTGGCTCCCAGGACTCAGGACCAACTAGGGAAAGGCAGCCTTCCCAAGCCAGACACCCCCTTGGAAGCCACGGGGGGTCTGGAGCCTGCCCAGAGACTACCAGGCCTGCAGCTATGTATTGATCAGAGAACTTGCTTCCTTATTCAAGGGAATGAATAAAACATTGGGACAGGAGACTTGCTGTGGCGTGGCCCATCGCAGACAGGGGCCAGGGAGACTTGGCCTGCTCGGGGAGAAAATTGCCTCTGAATAATGGATGATGAAAGCAGCTTGTTGCCCATCTCCTACCCCTGGCAAGGGCACCAGGATTATGATGCCATCTTAGGACTCTGTGCCACTTTGAAAAACTATTTCCCAGAGATGCCCAACAGCAGAATTGGCAAGTGGAGAAAGCAATGTTTAGACACCTGTGGCTTACCTCTCTGAACGTTGCTTCCTTAGCACTCCTTCCTGGACCCTGACAGAGCTCTCTCCAACCTGGCCAGGCCCCTCTATTCAGGGAGAGGAGTCTGACTGATTCACCCAGGGACAGAGTTTATCCTTAATTATTATTTTTTTTAAGTAGCATTTGCATTTTAAAAGAGAAGTGTGGAGAGGACAGTCCTTAGTCCAAAGGTGCTAATGGGGGCCTAGGCATTGTGACATCAAGGCTGAAGCTGCCCTAGGCTGGGGAGCCCTCCTGGAGTGTGGGACCTCTGGGCAGCCATTGTTGCAGGGTGCAGCCTGGCTGTCACAAGCTGTCTTTCAGCGAATTATTTTTTCACTTTAGGAGATTTCCATGTGTTTGTTTCCTGTTGAAGTGTGTGTGTGTGTGTGTGTGTGTGTGTGTGTGTGTTTGTGTGTGTGTGTGTGTGAGATGTGCTGTTTATTTATCATCTTGGGGCCCATGGGGCGGCCTTGTAACTGGAAGGGTGGATGTGGGAGACACCTTCTCCACCCACCCCAAGCCTGGTCCTCTCACCGAACTATGCTGCTTCTACTGCTGCTGCCACCACCACCATTTGGCATTTGTTGTGCGTTTTGGACGCGCTCCACCCAGACTCCCTTGTAACTGGAAATCGTCACAGCAGTGGGATGGATACCAGAGCCCCAGACGGCACTGCCTCTCCCCCACTTTAATGTGAATTTGACAGATGAATGAGGAGCGTTTCTAATAAAGTTTGTCATTCAGTCCTTCAGCTGTCTATTAAGTGCTCTTTGGGCAGAGGTTGGGAAAGCATCTTCCATCGCCCTGCCTGGTCTGCCTCAGACCCACAGGAGCCAGCATGTGAAGGCTTCTCCAGGCCTGACTCACCTCTTCCATCTGTGTCCCTACTCGAGCTCCAAACCTCAAGGGCTGCCCTGAAAGAGAGGATGTGACTGGGACAATGCAAAACTGGCCTTGACGGTAGACAACCAAGTCAAACTCCTGATGCCAGGGCCCGGATGCCCAAGGGGTAAGTGGATCTGCAAGGGGACTCAGGAACAGGAAGGGCAAAATCTTACAAGGCGCCAGTTTCCAGTAGACCTGGAGGCTGGGCTGGAGGTGGCCATGATGAATGTGCGTTGTGAAGGAGGTGTGGTGCAAATTGCTGGGGGGCAGAGTAAGGCAGGGCCAGGCTCAAGGATAGTACAGGTTAGGAGATGGGATCAGGCTGGAGTCAGGCTCAGAGCAGCTACCAATACACACTGTGCCAGCTTCCATGACCAAGTGCTCAGGCTGATGTACCCTACCCCCAGGGGAGATATGCATAGTGCAACATAAAAAAGTGAGAAGTTGCTTCCCAAGGGGTGGAGGAGGATGGGATGTGAAGGGAAGGCTTCCTGGAGGAAGAGGTACCTTCCAGACCTGCTATTTGAGGGAAGACAGCCTCCCTGAGAATGAAACAGAAGAACCAGACTTGGAGGACCTGCCTGGGCTCAACCTTGCCAGTTTCCAGCTTTGTGGTTGCAGGAGGCGGCTTCCTGCAGAGGCATGGACTGCCTTTGGGATCAGGAAGCTTGGGTTTGAGTTCCAGCTTTGTCACTCTTTCTTCACTGTGATCTTGGGTACACCACTTCCTCCTCGGCACATGGGGTTGGACTAGGTAGACAGTGACTGGGGTCCCCCCTCTCCCAACTCACAGGGCCCATCTCAGCACCACTTCCCCTGTGGATGTGTCCATCTAGTCTCACCTTCCAATCCTTGCTGTGGTTTCCCTCAGCCCCCAGTGTCCTCTCATCCTTACCGCACCTCTCAGGATCTCGCTTAGATCAGCCCTCTTCCCGGAAGCACTCCTTTACCACCTACCTGCTCTAAGATGTTAGCTTCTGAGCACCAAGAACCTTTGGATATGGCCTCATCTGCCCAGGAGCTGTCAGCCTCAGGCAGGAGGACAGGCCTGTGCCTGCACCTTCCCACACAGTCTGCTGCACTGCCACTGAGCTCAAGCCCAGCTCACTGTGCCTGTGAATGTGAGTCATAAACAGCTCTAGGGTTTGTTGTACATCAGTGCCACCTTTGTGGGGGGGCCTAAGCATGCACACAAACACACGCACACACACATACACAAACGAGTACCCGTTCCCTAGCAGACTTCCTGGAAACCCCGTGACCACCCTTTGGTGCAATGCCCTGTGGTAACCCAGCATCTCCCACACATCGCACATTCACTGAGTTTTGGGCCTCTTTCCATGACCCGTTTCTGCCAGGAGCTAACGTATGAACAGCACATATGGTGGGGGGCATGGTATCATATAGCTCTGATCCCTGCTGAGTACCCTGGTTCACTCTGCCCATCTCATGTTTTTACTTCCTGGATATAAGCCATCCTCTTTCCCTTGCTTTTCTCCTCTACCAGCTGCACGAGCACCTGGCTCCTTTATCTTGCACTAAGAAATAAAGATTTCATCCCCTCACAATGTTACAATAAAAGTGGCAGCAGGTAGCAAGAACCTCAGTTATGATGATTGATTTGTGCCAGGGCAGCTGTTCCTGCTCCCTAGCCCCTCACTCCCAGCCACCACCTCTGGACAGGCAGGGGACATGTGGCTTTCCTCTTCAGAACCCAGACAAAGAGTGGAAATCCCCAGTTTTAGTCTCAAACTAGAGTTCTGGGAGCCTTTGTCTCATGCCAGCCTGCAGATGGGTTTTGTTGTCCTACTTCATGTGTGTGCATATTTTAATAAAATTGAACCCAACAAAGAGAAAACAAATAATTTAACAATAAATCCAGACTTCAAACTTTTCTTTAAAAACAGGGAGATGTGGTGGAGCCAGGCCCACATTCCTTCATGCTGATGTTGGCCACCGCTGAGTTGTGATGGCCCCTGGAGAGAGGACCTCTGTTCTGTGGTCTACACTCCCAGAGCACATCAGGACCTCTCACTGCCACCCTCCTCCTGGGCATCAACACCCATAATGCACATCAGGGTAATAAATATACACACACACAAACACACACACACGTGTGTGGCCAATGGAAGCCCCCAGAGGGACAGCCTGCTAGTTCTGCACTTGACTTTGAAGTATCTCACAGTCTTAGCCATCAATGTTCAAAGAGCTCACACACACCCAGGATCTTTACTCAGAACTGGAGATAATATACATGTCCCTGGTTAGACTGTAAATTCTTAAAGGCCAAGAATTCTCAGGCCATTTTTTTAATGAGTTGGGCAATGTAATTAGGCAGCCTGGCTACACATTTAGTCCTTTGAGGAAGTTTGTACAGGCCTGAACACAATTAAATCAATTAAATCACAACCTCTGGGAGGGGCGGGGCAAGGTAGTGTTAAAGCTCCCGATGTGGTTCTAACATGCAGTGAGGGCTAAGAGCCTCTGGAGGAGGTGCCCACTTAGTCATCTCAGTGGCGAAGTGGTTGATGTTAGTGAGAATACACATCCTACACCAGGGAACGCCACCCAAGCCCACCCAGCATTTCCAGAAAATGGAGGACACTAGGTGGTGGGCGTCAGCAATGTGCTCAAATCCAAAGCCAGAGAGTCCTCCCCAACCATTCTTTCTTCCCACTGATGCTGAGCTGATTGTTAAGAGTGGAGGAAGAAGAACCAGCAGCCTCTGCCTTAATGCTGCACAGAGCTTAACAAATTGATTCCAGCTTTGTCCCTTTCCCTGACCTGCAAATCCATTCAGTGTATGTGGGGAATCTCTCAGAGATCATTGGCATGAGCAATTGAAATAACTTTAGAATAATAAGTAAAAAGAAGCCTAATAAATTGGTCTTAAAGGTATTGCTTTAAATAGAAGAATTTGAGATAATGAAACCTGCCTATAAGAGTGATTTGATTGCTAGTATTTCCAAACCTTTTTCCCTTAAGCAAGATAACAAATTTGGCCAATAATATTACAACCATTCCATTACTCTAATGGATTTTGGGACTAAAGTAAGTCAGTTACAAGCCAACCCTGGTGTGGAAACAGTGTCCACACCTGCTTTACCTGCCCAACAGGCAGGGATCTTTTCCTATAAGTAACTTTGGTCTGGGTTGAGTGCCCAGCACTGTCCACCCATGTGGGAGGATCACAGTAAGCAGGACAGAGGCCATGGGAGCACTGTCCCTATGCCTGAGGACTTTCCTAAGGGAAATACCATACTGATTTACTGCACAGAGATGGTATTTGAAGAAAAGAGTGGCCTTTTACTGATCACTCTGAGTCAACAAAAAATGGCTCTACCACACTGTATGCCAGACCCAAGGGCTCCCTTGCTTCCCAAGAGCAATCACACATCTCCACAGAGAGAGTAACATGCACACCAGTGAACAATGTCTTCTGTTTGCTCATGGTGTGAATGACCAGACCAGAGGAGGTAAGGCAGTGCAGAAACAAGTGCTGGCAGCATGAGGGGCTTAGAGTATGATGGAGAGTGTTGAGCTATGTCTTAGTTACTTTCTTCATCACTGGGACACCCACAACCTAGAGGAAGAGAGATTTATTTTGGCTCCTGTTTTCAGTCCATGATCAACTGCCTCCAGTGCAGAAATGGTATGATGGAAGGACAGCTGGGTGGAGGACAGGTGCTCATCTTATGGCAGCCAGGAAGCAGACAGAGAAAGGAGGAACCAGGGAGGGACCTTCCAGGTCATGCTGCCAGTGGCCTGCCTATTCCAACCTGATCTCACCTCCTAGCAGCACATTTAGCTATGAACTCATCTATGGATTAATTCACTGATGAGTATAGCACCCCCAATAGCCTTTCACACACAAGGATTTGGAGTATCATTTTAAAACCTAAACCATAACATTCTGCCCCTGGCCCTCAAAAAATGCACTTCCATCTCATTATGCCAAAGATTTAACAATTCCAGCATTGCTGAAAAGTCCAAAGTCTCCTCTGAGACTCAAGGCAAACACTTAGCTGTGAGGCCCTATAAAAATCAAAAAGAGGCTGGGGATTTAGCTCGGTGGTTCTGCCACCTGTCTTGCAAGCACAAGGACCTGAGTTCAATCCCCAGTACCAAAAAAAAAAAAAATCAAAAAGAAGGTTAAATGCTAAAGGCAATAACAAAGACTGGAGCTCCTCCCTAAGGTTAAATGCTTTCAACTTACAATGGCACAGGATAAATATTCCCACCAAAAGGGGTGAAATGGGGAGATAGAAAGAAATTGGACTAAAGCAATACCAAAGCACAGCAGGGCAAAATGAAATCCTGTAGCTCCATGTTCAGCACCCAGGACAAATGATGGCAAGATGTGAGCTCCAAAAAGCTTGAGAAGCCCTGTCCCTACAGCATTGCCAGTTGCAGCTTTCATGGCTTCTCTTTTGGCATGGCTCCACTCACTGCCTGCAGCATTCCTCAGCAGACATTCCATTTCCCTGGCATCTCCAAATTCCTGGGGCCTTCACTACACTTTCAGCTTCACTCTTACCATTTCATATACTGCCATCTCAAGGCAAACTGGCTGGCCTCCCTTCTGAAATCTGGGTGGAAGCCTCCATGATTCCATAATTCTTTCATTCTGCATGCCTATAAAACCAGCACTATGTGGATGATGGCAAGGTCTGCTACCAGCTTGAATAGTAGTCAGGCCCCTGTGGATCATGGCTGCAGAAGTCTATGAGTGTCTGGACAACTGAAAATATACAATGAATACCAACTCCCCAGGCAGCCCTCCTCAAGCAGAGGACTCAGGATTTCTCTTCTCAAATGAAAGCTTTGCAGTTTTGCACCTTTGGGCCTGTGAAAGGTGGGCTCC